ACAGACACCCTACCCAAGGTTTGTTCGCGGCCGTTACATAGTCTTTATGAATACAGATATCAGTGAAATTGGTTTGAAGCTACTTGAATCATTTAAGTCTTTACCTGGCTTGGGAATGGGAACTATTTAGATGCAACGCAAATCAGAGGGTATAAAGTTGGTGGACCAGCAGTTGTTAATTGCATGCAAAAGCATGCTAAAGCTTCCTCCAGACAGTGCTCTGAGCATGTCATACTTGACTCCATCACAACCTGCAGCAGTAGCTCTCTTCCTGGAATGTAAAACATACATTAGCTCATGCAATGAAAAGGGTGTTTTACTGAGACTACTAAAAGGAATTGAAGGCATTGTAATCGGATTGACAATTGGAATGCAGCACTTGAGCATATCTAAGTATTTTTTATTATCATGGTCATTCCATACAGCACAACCGGTTAATTTTCGACTAGAGTGTCGATGACCATTGATATAATTTCAGAAAGAACGTTTCCACATAAATCTTTAATCGCGATAGCTCTATGTGTCCTTTTCGCCTTTCTAACTGCAGACCTCCATTCTATCAGTGTTTTCATATATTCAATGTAGTTGGCTGGGTTGGCATATTTACTCATTTTTTTTCTTGCAGCTTGGTATTTGCGGAAAAGTGTTGACAGGGAAGAGTTACACCAAGGTTTAGGTGAGAAAGACTCAATGTCAGGAAGGTTGGTTCTAGCAGACCTGATCACAGACTGAAAGGCACTTTGAATTGATGATAAATCAGAAGAAAGATCAACTTTAGACTGACGGTTCATAAGTAAGTGGCGTGAAATGAAATTTTCTATTTTCTTAACGGAATTGTTACAACTGTGGAATAAAATGGGGGAGTGCTGACTTTTGCCAATGGAAACATTGGACGTGTTCCAGTTAAAAGATAAAATTGTTGAATTCGAGAAAGTTAGATCCAAGACACTGCTCGCCGTGCGACCACTCTGGTTACAGTGAAAGGCAGTATTGCTATTATTTAAGACACTGAAACTGCTGGAATTGATGGCATTTACAAGGATCTTGCCTTTGTTGGTCGAGACTTGATCGCCATACAGGCGATGTCTTGCATTGAAATCTCCAGCTAGAATCTCATTTTGTTCACCGTCAAGAAAGTCGCATAATCTCTGGATCTCATCACGAAAGGTTTGCACATCGAGACTGGGTGGAAAGTAGCATGATGCTATGAAAAGATTGGGTTTCATGTTCATGGTTTTGATGATGATAATGTCAACAGCAGAGTTATAGGGAATACGTCGGAAATTGACACCTTTCTTAACTAATATACTAACACCGCCATAGCCATCATTTCGGCATTTGGTGGCTGAGGCATAATTAGAAACTTTAACTTCGAAACAATTTTCATCTTTCAGAAAAACTTTACTTAAGATGCAGAAATCAATCTTGTTTGAGTTTAAGTAAAAATCCACAAAAGACAGGTTACGTCGGACACTTTGAATGTTATATTGTAAGAAGGATATCAAGTTAAAACTTGAGAAAGAACCTCAGCGGATTTCCTCGTAGTACTGGGTGCTTGAACGGGGCAAGCAATGGCACAGACAGACATTTTTTCTTCAAATTCTTTAATAAGATTATGAGGGATCATCGGACGGATACTTTCTTGAATCGCGAGAATTAATCTTTCAAGTTCTGAGGACCGCAAATAGTTGTTTGAAATTATTGGTCGCCAAAGACTTGTTCCAGATGACTTGAGGGGTGTATTGGGAGAAGGCTTGGTGGGTGAACTGGGAGAAGATTTGGAAGGAACCGATTTCCTTTTGACGACAGCATTATATTTATTTTTGGTTAAGATTTTGTTGGCATTTTGATTATCATTCTTGGTCGAAATTGCAGACGTGTTTCCCAGTGGAGAGAAATTGTCGTCATAAGTGATGTCATCGAGACATTCGAAATAATGTGCGGAAAAATTCTCTTTTACATCTTTATACGAAAGATTTTTAATTGCCATGATCCTGTTGGTATTTGATTCAAGTTCCCTGTTAGGGCAAAACTTAGTGAGAGTGTTGGGCTTACCTGAACCACAGGACAAGCACTTCATCGTCTCGCAGTTCACACACTTCGGGGACTTCCTACAGTTAAGGCACCTGCTCTCTTTGGCTTTGCAGAATTTTGACACGTGACCGTATCTACCGCACTTAAAGCAGCTTTAAAGTGGGTACAAATTACTCAACCGTCAGATAACAATAATTAAATTTTATTGACTTAGGGAGGGCTCTCCCTTTGAAGCCAATTTTGATGCTGGTTGTGGGAATCCACTCACTTTCTTTTTGTTGGGATTTCTTCTTTGAAAATGGACAGCGGACTTAATCGGAATATCGGATACGGCGTTTTTAATTATATCATCGACACTATGTGTGCATGGGATGTTTCGAATGATTCCAAATCTCTCAGTGAAAGACCTCGGTATGTACGCCTTTAAATTCTTTTTAGTAAATTCATTATTCGTAACAAAATTGTTGGCATTGGCAGCAGAGCTGAAAAACAGTTTGCCTTTGCCCCTGCTGACAACTTTTAATTCTTCTAAACCGTACATATTGATATCCTTCAAGTAATCATAAAAATAGAGACTGGAGTTAATATTGATGCGATTTCCTTCTGCGTCTGCGGCTTGTCGCCTGTTTACTAGGCGCAATTAAAACGTTTGCGTTAGCTTCTCCATTAGCAGATAAAAGAATATTATTCTCACCCATTCTCGATCTCTTGGTGTGCCCAGTGGCGTTCATGTAAAAATCTTCACAACAGTCTTTATCAGTAGTTATAAGATCAGACCCGGTCTCCATAGGGAGACGGGCTGATGTGTTTTTGGTTGTTATCACACAAAAAAAAAAAAAAATCACAAGAAAAAACAATGACGTGTGGTATCAAGTGTGAATGAAATGCGAATGCTTTTGTATGTTTACCTTTGCTTATTCACAACAGATGTTATTTATATTATAATTAAAAAAGAATTTGTTTTATTTCATAAGCTTAATTCTGTTCGTTAGCCAAGTATTGTCATATTTGTGATATTTACGAAATCACGTTCATCACTATTACAGTTTTACTTCATTATCAGGAGTATAAAAGGGAAATTTTTTTTTTTTTATTTTAAGCGACGCTGTTCATACTCAAGTGTATTTCTTATAATGATATCGTAAATGCTTATGAATATTGCTGGTTCTTTATTAAAATTAAATTTAAAATGTTAGTATATATATAAATTTATATATATATTTCGTTTATTTAATATTTTTATACTTCTTGTATTTTCAATCCTGCCACAAGGGTATTGCTTTAGAAACATTTGCTTCTTTACATTAGCTGCTTCCCATTCCTTTATTTAAATGTATGCCAAAAACGCAATATATTCCCAACGCACATAAAAACAAAATGTTTCATTTGTGTCTCTGTGCGGTTCACGACTTTAATATTTTTACATCGATAAACTTCGGCCCATTTTCGATCGATATTGTACCTGTACTGTCTACATCATATCTGTCCGTCTATAGAAAACTATTAACTACATTAAATTTTAGAGCAACGCGAAAGTGCGACTTTGGGAGGATTTCTGTATTTCTGGGTCTTCATAACCCACCACGCCTATTGTCTGCTTCGGCCCATAATATCTATGGGGGACCCCGGTCCTCTTATAACAAGAAGCAAAAATTTAAATAGTTGACATTTATTTTTATATTAATATTTTTCTCTTTCATTTTATCAACTTTTTTCTAAATTCTCCTCCAATACATATCGCAAAAAATATATATACTTAGATTTTGGCTTAAATAAAGAAAACCAAAATGGATTACCAATTTGTGTAGGTATGTGTGCAAACCAATCATAATTCAATTCGATCATAAATCATTTATATACGTACATATTGGTTATTAAAAAGAAAAAAAAATTTTAATATAATATATAACCGTGGGTACCGCTGGGTTGCTATAGGCGATTATGAAAACGTTGTGCATCCAGGGAAGTATCAATAATGCAAATGGCGTTATAATATGTATACTTTTTTGCTTGTGTTTTTGTTGTACGTACGATAGTCTTCACAATCTCCAACCCTCTTTTAGTGGCACTGAAGAGTGGCCCTCAAAAAAAGTTTCGATCGATTTTTTTGTCAGATAGACAAGAGAGGACTATCAAACGCTGCGTTATAATGCGGAATAATTCTTTTGAACGTTAGTAAGTTTATGAAATATGTAAGTAATAGGAACATGTTGTCCACTTTCTTTCTTTCGAGCCGATACAGCACTATAGATGGGTAAAATCTGGCTTATGTAATAACGGCGCAAAACGTAATAGTTCTTTTAGGTCTTCTCTCAGGTCTTCAAAAGAAAATTTTTGCTTCCTCTGATCATTCGAAAGTCTTCTTTTTCTTTTACCTGCCAGTCAGAAGACTGGACAAAGATGCGAAATTGCACACGAAACGACAGTACCAATGCCTGAGGTTAATTTCTTCCTAACCAATTTTTCACTGGTCATGAAAATTTGTCGAGTTTTTGGTGCCATTTACATTTGCCAGCAGATAGCGCAAAGCGATACACAATGCACTGCTTTCGCCTCTCTTACTTGACCATGTTTAGAAAACTGGCTTTTCAGTTCACCTGAAACCCCTTAATGGACACCAATATATGGAAGAAAAACGCCGACTTTGTTTAAGATATGCTTCGATATAAAGCTAAATGAAGGCGACATTCGAATCCTGATCTGGCGGCAGGATGATATAGTGAAGATCAAGAATCATCATAGCAATCGCTACAGTGTAAAAGAACTTAAACTAGTACAGAAAAAATAACTTCCAAATTCAAAATAAACTGTCTATTTGTTTTACCAGGTTATTTTATTTTGGTTTATTTGTTTGTATAAAAATAAAACCTCAGGGTTTGTAAATTCCCACGGTCTAACAACAAATAGCCTAAACTGAAGTACAATCCCAAAAATGGGAATCAATAAGCATTGTGTAGCTTAAACGTAAGCAAGAAAAAAAAAATATATATATGTATAATTAGTTTGTAGTGGTCGGGGAAATTCATGTTCTGGGATATTTTTCATGGTCGGGGAAGTTATTCGTCAAGTCATATGCACGTTTGCTATTGATTGATAACCGAAATTTGAGGACTTTTAAATGCAACACGGAAGTGATGGATGTTGAAAAGATCTGCAGAACGTGTTTAACATTAAGTGGTCCATTGCTTTCAATTTATGATGATGGTAAGGGTGGTTCTGGTTGTTTGGCTGATATGTTACGGGAATTCACTAAAACCAAGGTACGCAAAAAAGAAAAAAGTTTTGTTTTATTTTAAATCCAAATTGCAGCATGTAATGTAATATTGCAGCCTCAGTGTAACGACAACCTACCGGAACGCGTATGCCTTTCATGCATAAGCGAAATTAACCGCTGTTATTCATTTAAATTGAAATGTGAAAATTCCAGCAAAACACTCCAACAATTAATACCGAATGCCAAAGGCTTGCCAGACGTTACCGAAAAGTCGGTATCTAACTGTGAAAAGGCAGTGCAGACAAACAAAAGAGCACTTATCTCTACATATGTTCAGACGTTTGCTTTGTTCAAGGACAAGGAAATACAAACTGAAGCACGAGATGCAATGCAAAATTTTAAATTTGAAAGATCTTCAGAGCTCTCAAACGCTCCACGCTCAAACAATCCCGTCCGTTGTTTTAAGCGTTCGACAGACTTAGAAGCAAACGTTCACACGTTGTCTCGTCAAAAAAATCCTGATAAAGTTTGCAATAGACTGTGCTTTGACACTAATTTAAAAGATACTGCTCTGAAAGCAGCGGAAATGGCGCGGGAGGAAGCCTATATTCTATTAGATAACAGTTCAACAGAAAATGATAAGTTTTACATACGTAGTGAATCAGATAATATAGGAGCGCAGGATTCGATCAACGTTGTTTTATCGAATCATTTCGAATTTTACAATGATGAAGACGAACTCGATGAAGATAATCGAACGGAGGAACATGATTACTCTTGTGGAAATGTGGACATTCCTGACATCAATTGTGCAACAGATCAATCACTAGTCGCCAACGGTGTGTTGTGTAAAATTAATAGACACTTTGATTCCGCTTCTGATGAAGATGGCCACAGCTGGGATAAGGAGGAACACAGAGCAACAAACTCTGCCAGCTCGCAACTCACGGACAAGCAGTCTAGTCCTGTAGCAATCATTAGCTCAAGTCGTTTGGATTCAAATAGGGAAGAGTACCGATGCCCATACTGTATTATGACTTTCGTCAGCTTGAAAACTCTCAGGCGTCATTTATCCAAACGCCACAACCTAGAACTTGAACCATCCCAAATTATTATTGAGAAAAAAGTAAAAAAGTCTGTTGAAACCATAGAGGAGAAGATTGATGAATCTGCAGGCAATGAGCAGAAAAACTTGACAAAGGGAAATGTACTAAAGCCTCACTTAATGCCGCGAGACCGTGTTTCAACTTCTAAATCGGACGAAGCCGCATTAACCACTTTTCAATACTTTTGCGATTATTGTAAAGCTGGCTTTGCATTGCGCAAAACTCTAACTTTGCATATGAATCAAAACTTGTGCACCTCCAATAATTTTAAGGTTAGTTTTCATGATTTATTTATTAACCAATTGTGGATGTTATCTTGATAGTTTACTTTTTTGTATCTTTCTGAACTAAATTAGTGCGACGCATGTGGAAAAATTTTCTTAACCGAAAAGAATTTAGAAGCACATATCGCTACGCACACGAATGAACAAACTTGTTTGGAGTGCAAGAAAACATGTGGGAGCATAGAGGAACTTAGCGCACACATGATTAGTGAACATAATCGAAATCCCCGCAATCAGTGCAAAGTTTGCAAAAAAGGTGAATTAAATGTTTTTTCCCCTAAAGATCGCGTTTTCTAACTTCCTGGTTTGCTTTAGTATTCACTATGAAGACATCACTTATGGATCACATGCGCATACATTCCGGTGAAAAGCCATTTCTCTGTACAATATGTGGGAAAAGCTTTCGTCAAAACTCAAACTTACGACAACACTTAATGCGACATACGAATGAGAAAAATTTTAAGTGTGATGTATGTTTAAACGCTTATGTAACCAAAGCTGAATTGTTTTCTCATAAACGTTCACACACTGGTGATCATCCGTTTAACTGTGAAATATGTGGATCGAGTTTCACATCTTCAAGCTCTTTGCAGAAACATCGTCGCAAACACACTGGAGAGCGGCCGTATGCCTGCGAGTTTTGTCCCATGCGTTTTACTGCTTTAAATATATTGAAAAATCATCGTCGTACTCACACCGGCGAAAAGCCCTTCAAATGTGAACATTGTAATAAAAGTTTTTCACAAAAGGGCGATTGTCAGATGCATCAAAGGACTCATGGTGAAAAGGATTTCAGCTGCGTGTGCGGCGCTAAATTTTCGAAGTCCTCTAATTTACGTTATCATAGGCGAAGACAACATTGCCGATTTTCAGATGGAGATGCCGCAAGTGAACAAGATGCTATGGATAATGCAGAAATGCATATAACTTTAGTAAAAGATGAAGATGGCGACGAACTTATTACTATCTCTACAAAGGGAGAACGAGAGAACGCAAATAAACATAAGCTCGGACTTGGTATACAAAACGAAGAGGAATTGTTGGACATTGCCATGGAAGATATATGTTAATTTATCTTAATCTTAATCTATATAAATTTAATACAGATTTTCAATTAAGTTTCCCAACTTGTACGCAATGCTTTGAATTTTCAAACTTCTTTTTCTAGTAGTACGATTGCTGATGATGAGTCTGATGCTGCTGAAAATTATGATGTTGGTGCATCGTATGTACCGCATTCAGTGGCGATTGATTTGTGTATTGAATTGTTTGTGATACAATTGGACTTATTAATGCAGCGGCCTGCGTAGAAGCTGAATGTGCTGCGGTTAATGCCACATTATTTGACGACGCTGTGTTAATTGTGGCAATAGCAACTGCAGTGGCGTTAGTAGGAGGAGGAGGCCCTTTTAACCAGTCAATTAAATTATGATGTATGCTTTGCACGCACTTTAACTGATCCGCAATCAAATTTTCAGAATACTTTACATGATTTGCTAAAGCTTCTTTTTCATGTTGCGCATCTTTAGACATTCGATGCAAATCTTTGAGAATAGCTGATCCCCATAGTTGCACATGGATATCAGGTATTTTCGATGCCAACTGCATAGCTGGTGTCACCATATTCATGCTTTCTTTAGAATTGCTAATGCTGAGGAATACATGAGACAGTAGTACGAGTGAACAGGAAGTAAGACGATTCAAGTCCTCTGCATTAGCCATTTTCAAAGTCTCTCTCAAAAATCGCCTAAATATGTAAAAACTTATTAAACAAAAATGTGGAAATAAGAAACCCTTACTTGGCTTCATGAAAGCTGGCTTTGTGAAATGCGTGCAAACCTTGAACATAGTAGAACCCACCCATTAAAGCTTGAGAGCTGTATGTATGCGTATTTTCTGTAGATACGGCATCCAAAATTTGTTTCAAGTCCTGATCGCGCTTAGTTCTCAAATATATGATGGCCAAGTTGAGTTTAGCAAAGAGCTTCAAGTCACGTTCAGTCGTTTCGTTCACACACGTAAGGAATTGATTTTCGGCATGTTCAAAGAAACTAGTGGACATTGCGTAAAGACCCACTAAACAATGCAACTGTGCAGCATGGCGTTTGAGCAACTGACCATTTGGTCCTGATGATAAGCACACATCACGAGCTGCGGCTATTTCACGTATAGCCAATTCTCGATTTCCCATTACCATTCGACACATAACGATATGTTCCAGTAAAATTACTTTAAACACTGACAATATACACTTGTCATCTTGCGCTTTGAGTTTCTCAATTTGGGTCAAAGCCTTTTCAGTATACTTTTGAGCTTTATCCATATAGCCAGCCATCATTGAATGCGATACTGTCACTAAATAAACCAAAACGTATAATTGTTCTTTAGGCAACCAGACAAACATTTCCAGGGGATTTTGTCCAAAAATAACTAGAATCGTTCAGAAAAAATTAAGAATTTTTCAGCCTCAATATAAATTGAAAACATATTCACCCTCATCTGTTGGCCAATTCGGGGCCATAATAGTTTGTATTGACATTTGCAACTGTTTTAAGCTCGGTTTCACAGTCTTAACTTGACCTAGTGCTAAATAGTAACAAACCTGTAAAACCAAAAAGAACACTTTTAAATACTCCTTTTGGTGTGGATTATTGATATGATTGTCGATAATAGCACCGGCCGAGTTCAACAGCGCTAATACGTCGTTGGTTTTGCGTTCAATCATTAGAATCATAGCTCGTGACAACAAAAATAACACTTTTAAATAAGTAGCTCCAGCTTCTTCAGCTGATTCAGCTCCTACAGCTAGCAATTCTGACGCTAAGTTGTACTCTCGGTCGTTCGCATGCAATTGAGCCAACTGCAACAGAAGCTTACAATGCCAATAAACGTTATTCAAAGAAAGTTCAATGGCTTTCCGTAAAATTGCTTTCGACGTTGAATTTTGATCAATTTGTAAATACAATTCAGCCAATAAAGATGCTGTGTCGAATTTGACATCATCAAAATTTAATAGGGGTTCCGACAATTTCCAGGCCGCCTCCAGATGTGTTCGAGCCATATCGGTGTTATTTGTGTATGCCATTAGGATTTGACCTAACTGGAGATGAGTTCGAGCTTCCACTTTGGATGGTGGTTGAAACGTAAACAGTGCCTGTAGGCATTGAATGCACTTCTTTATATTGGGTGGTTGAGAAGTGCGAAAGTTTTCAGCTAATCCTAGTAGCGATATATAGCACGCATCTTGAGAGGTTGTCGCATTGTTGGAGCCTACCGTCTGCAAACTCATTACGTTTACTGCCTTGCTAAAACTTGTCTTTCGTAAAATTATACATGATTTGCGTGAAACATATGTAATTTGCAATTGAAGCCAAGTAACAATGATGCCATATTCACGAGCAGAAAAAAGTGCTTGCCGGAATGCAGTAGTCGTATTTTAATTATAAGGACTTATGAACATGTAGAGCTTTGAAGTATAAATTAAATAAGGAGAAAGAAGAGGGGCCAACATTATCCATTCGGTTTTGTTTACACTTTCCTCTGAAAGAATACGATACCGCGGCCGTCCGTTGTGCTCATCACTTGGGAGTTTTTTATATGCAAACAAAAATGACGCCATAAAGGGTTTAGAAACTTCCAACCAGCCATGCCACCGTATTGTATCAGAGCCAATTGTAAAAAGCAAAAGCATCTTATTTTAGAATCAAAATAAAGCAATCAACGTTAACAACATACAATCAATATTCGAAACAACTGGAAATTTTTTCTGACGAGTCTTTTCTGTGCTAGTGAAAAAAGGAAAAAGCCTCGCATATTTCAATTCAAAACAATTTAACTAAAATGAAAACTAATAATATCTGGTAATATTCTTTAGTAACTTTTTTTTTTCAAGTGAAGAAATAGTTGTACCTTAAATTACAATCTCGTAAATTGTTTAAAAAAAAAAGGAAAATGTATAAAAGAGCTTTTCTTTTTTTCTTACTTCTGGATTTTTGGTAAGTGCTGCACAGGATAGCATTCACAACAGCTAATAAAACATTAGCCTGTCTCCCAATAGAGACAGGCTCTAATCAGATTAAACGACTTTGAGGACTATTTTGTGAATAATATTGATATTGTGCGTGGTGCTGAATTAACTTTCTCACTGCCGGTTCATCAGCACCTGATAGCCACGTTGTTGAAAAGGCTTCTGATTTTTGTGCCAAAGGCATTGTAGATCCCGAAATTACTTTGAATGGCTATATTACGCAGTGTAATTTCCTTGTATTTGCTAAAACCTGTGAAAATGCTAAGATCAAAAGCATAAATATCTCTTCTGATCTTTTTTGTTTTATGAATATCTTAAACGTTTTAATTTTGATGGCTTAGAAGAACTCAAAACAGTTAATAAACTGGCAACTCTGTCGCGCGGTATAGTCGTCTATATTTTGTTTCGGCAATTAATATATTAATTTTTTGTTGAATTTCGTGGCTATTATGCCTTATAGTGTGTGCATTTATAATATACTTTGAGAAGAAAGTGAGTGAATTCAAAGTAAAAGAAATATTTTTTCTTTACGCTTTGATTCATTGGATATTTGCAAACAAAAATTTTGTGCTCTGATATAAATCTCTCTTTTTTTTATGTTTTCTCTCTTTTTCTCTGTTATTTTTACGCTGTTTGTAGTTTGTTTTGCTATTGATCTCTCGTTACAGTGTCAACGTAACAGAGAAGTTTTCCACAAATTGGTTGATAAATTTTTATGTTCAGGATTTTTTTTAGCGATTTGTGTGTCTGTTCTTCATAATCCACAACTGTCTTTTTGACTGGACATGGAGTGTTTATATACACCTTGTCGGGCGAAAACGGGCCCGGAATCTAATAGATTCGTTTCTTGTTGGCTCTGCGAGTGCTTTGTTCATGCAAAGTGTGCCGGTATTCTCAGCCGTGCTGCTGACGCAGTCGGTGACCCGTCTAAAGGCTTAGGATGGTCATGTCCTGACTGTAGGCAGCGGGATTTTTATAAACTTTTCACGGAGACCCGTTATGGTTTCTCGGAATTGAGTAGAAATCTCGGCTCCTTGTGGGAAAAGTTTGAGCTCATTAAGTCTAGGTTTGAAGAGTGTCGCTTTATTGGATACTCATCTTCTACTCGTAGCGTAGCGTGTGGGACGTCACCTCTGGTTTTCTCCAAACCTGATTCGTTGGTACAAGCTACCGCTCCCTCTAACTCTAAAATGAACAGAAATGCTTCTGATATTGCTGAGTCGGTTGGTAGCAAAACAATTACAAACAAACCGGCAAGTCCATCGGTTTTAAGCTACGCTGAAGTGGCAAGGGTATCTCCGCCCAGAGCCGCCACTCACTCTAATCAAGCGCCATCGCCTTAAAGTAATGAAGAGAAAAATAAATCATCCTCTCCTCCTGGCTGTGCGCGTGTGAATGCTAGTCACCAGACTGGGCTAGTCTCACAAGCTGCCGGTACAAGGGCGATAGCCCCATTTATATTTTCCCCAACTCGAAACTCTCCTACCGTGAACCTCCCTCCTGTTCCAAATGATGACATTTGCTTGACGGCAGTTCCTCCTAGAAAAGCAATATTTGTGTCAAGACTGGCACCTGAAACATCGGTGGATAACATAAAAGGTTATCTGGCGACGAAAGTCCCATCAGTCAATTTAAAGCGTGTTAGCATCTTCAAAATGGCTCCTTCTCAAGCTAGGGCAATCCCCTCTTTTAAAATATTAGTTCCGACTGAAAACAGTGATATGTTGTTAAACAAATCACTGTGGCCAGTAGGATCCTTAATTAAGGAATTTATCCCTCGAGATCGTCCCCGTAATGCCAAGGCAACAGTCTTGTCGCCTTCAAAAAACTAGTTGTTTCTTCAGGCCCACTATCTCTCATTTATCAAAATGTTAGGGGCCTAAATTCGAAAATTCCTTCCACTTTTCTAAATTCAGTGAGCACGAAATTTTTCTGTTTGGCCTTTACTGAAACTTGGCTAAAACCTGATCTTCATTCGTCGGAACTTTTTCATAATTCTTTCCAAGTGTTTAGAAATAATCGAGTGAATCGCATTGGTGGTGGTGTATTAATTGCCATATCTGCGTCAGTCCCGTCCAATTTAATTGAATTTCCCACTTTTCCTGACGTTGAATTTATCGCTATTCGTGCGAATATGCCTGATAAACATCTATTTATAACTTGCTCCTATATTCCCCCAAATTCCGATCTCTCCATTTACAGGAAACACGCTTCCTTCATTTGTGAAGTGGCCAAGCGATCTAGACCCACTGATTTGGTCGTTGCATTGGGTGACTTCAATTTGCCTCAAGTCACTTGGTGTAGCACTGATAATTCTGGCTGTTTGGTTCCTACTTCAACGTCTAATAGGACTGTTGTGTTCTTTAGTGAATTGTTTGATCATAATTTGGGTCAATATAATCGTACCCCTAATTGTAATGGTAGACTGCTTGATCTCTGCTTTGCCAATTTTCCCGAGATTTACGTAAATCGTTGTCCATCTTTTAGTTCACCTGAGGATCCTTATCATACATCAATATGCATTTCCTTTCATCACATTAATGATGGTTTGTTGAAATGCCTTAATGCGCTAAATCAAACTTTTTTAAATAATTGTTATGATTTTCATAAAATCAATATTGTATTACTAAAACATCGTCTTTCACATCTGACGCTTGATTTCTCAACCGGTAGTATTGAAAGCTTATTGCCATCGTTCTATAATACATTAAATCTAGCTATTGCTGCATCTGTTCCGATCAAGCATTGTCGGCCTCGAAGCAGGTGTCCCCCGTGGTTTAATAAGACAATTAAATATCACAAGAATAGAAAAATTTGCTAATCAAAAAATATTCGAAAAGTGGCTCTGCGCTCGACTATGTCGCTTACTCGGTGGTGAGGCATAAATTTAACTCCCTCAACCATCATTATTACTGCAGATACCTTCAGTTCATTAAATCCTCTCTGTTTGCTAATCCTAAATTCTTCTTTAAATTTGTTAACTCTAAAAGAAAAATTTCCACATATCCCTCTCATGTTTCTTTTAATGGCTCTGGTTCGTCGGATGATTTTGAAATCTCAAATCTATTTGCTGAGTATTTCCGACGAAACTTTTCGATTGCTAATTTCGATTTATCAGCAAACTACCCATATCCTATAACTAACTCGGTTTCAATACCTAGCTTGGTTATTTCGGAAGATGATGTTTTTAAAGGGTTGAGTTCTCTAAAATACAGTTGTTCGCCTGGACCTGATGGAATTCCATCATGTGTATTTAAATCTTGCGCTGTCGAGTTATGTGGTGTGATCTCAAAGATTTTTAACATGTCCTTGTATTTAGGTGTCTTCCCTTCATGTTGGAAGAGTAGTTTCCTTATTCCTATCAACAAGAGTGGAAGTAGACAATTTGTTGAGAACTACAGAGACATAGCCAAGTTGAGTGTCTTGCCCAAGTTGTTCGAGCGTATTGTGACTCAGCATTTGGACTTTGCCATTAATTCGTACATTTCTCCGCACCAGCATGGCTTTCGGAAAGTCACCAACTTGTTAGAGTTTACCTGTCATGTTTTCAAGGCTTTTTCTAGTGGCTCTCGCACAGATGTTATTTACACTGATTTAAGCAACGCATTTGATATGGTTAACCATAGACTACTTATCTTTAAACTCCAAGCGTCTGGTTTCCCACCCTACTTAGTGAAATGGATAAGCTCTTATCTGCACAATAGATCCTTCAGGGTTTTGTTTAACTCCATCATCTCGGATGAATTCCCCGTTACGTCTGGCGTACCTCAAGGAAGTCACTTAGGTCCTATTTAATTTAGTTTATACATTAACGATCTCCCATCGGTGGTTAATTCCAGCCAGATCTTAATGTATACTGATGATGTGAAACTGTTGTCTTCTTTCTCTCTAGAATCGCAATCACATCAGCTTCAAGGTGACTTCAATAATTTGGTTGCATGGTGATCTTTGAGTCTTCTGAAACTTAATCTAAATAAATATAAGAAGCTTTCTTTCTCAAGAAGAAAGTCATTCATTACTCAGTATTTCATAGATTCGCATAATTTGGAGGACGTTGATTCGATGACAGATTTAGGCGTTCTATTTGACCATAAGTTACGTTTTAACTTGCATATTGAGTTCTCGATTAGCAAAGCTAGGTCCGCACTTGGTTTTATAAAAAGGTGGTCCAAAGAGCTTGGTGATTTCTACATTACGAAAAGGCTGTACATGTGTTTGGTTAGACACATACTCGAGTATGCCTCAGTTGTATGGTCTCCTTCATATAGGTGCTACGTAGATTCAATTGAATCTGTTCAAAAGCAATTCTTGCTGTTTGCCCTTAGAAATTTGGGTTGGGATCCGATTGCCTCTCTT